TCTCCTATACCGATACCCTCATCACCTTGGCAGCGCCTGACTATTCTATCCATGTACAACACAAATAGGAGAGGGGACAGGACACAGCCTTGGCGGAGACCAGTGCCACTGATGAAAGGTTTCGACTTAACGCTGTTTACTCTGACGCAGCACCTGGTATCAGAATGCAGTGATTGGATGGCCCTTAGCAGCTGGCCATCTGTCCCGTATGCTCGAAGGCATGGCCACAGAGTGTTGCGTGGAATCCGGTCATAGAATTTTATAGGTCGACAAAGCACATGTACACCGGACTGGCGTACTCCCACGAATCTCAACAGTCTGGCGCAGGGTAAGCATATGGTTAGAGGTGCTTCGACCGGGCAGGAAGCCACGCTGCTTTTCTTGTATCTTGAGGTCAGCTATTTCGCGACACTTCCTTTCTAGCACCTTTGCGTAGACTTTACCTGGGAAATTCATTAAGGTAATGTCTCGATGATTTTAGCACTCCCTGTGGTCTCCCTTCTCCCTTCTTGAACTTGGGTACTAAATGCCCCGTTCTCTACTCAGGGTACAGACAGGACTTAGATTCTCTCTTCAAATCGGCGACATAGACCTTTAACAATGTCAACAGTTTGGCCGTTAGTCAACAGTTTATTGTATTTAGCTTCAGTCGGTGGATTGCCAGTCTTCTGCTGATAGGCTTAGCTTAAGCGATTTTGTTGGCCAGGTTAATTTCTGGCAGAACGCCAATACCATTCTGGTCGCGGGTCGATACGAGAGTACAATTGCATCTACTCGCAGAGATTCAGAATTTCATAGCTTTGGCGCTTCGTTGGCGAGAGCTACCATGTCCAGTTGATTCCTTGTTGCGTCATCAACTAGTTTTGCTCATTCCTTCTGAGTGAGGATATGTTCCAATTTTTGACTCTAAGTTGCCACTGTCGGTATCGTTTGTGTGTAACCTTATCGAATGTACTGTAAAGTCATCGCAGGTTCGCTTTCCCTGTTCAGCCCTGGTGACGGATTCTCTACTGACTGCTTTTATCGTCTTCATATCGTTCTGTAGTTACTGTTGCCGTGGTGCTACAGCCTCATTTTCTGAAAAGGTTCTGATCGTGGACTCTTTGGAGCCTCGCAGCCCTTATAGCACAATCGACGATCTAGCAAGTATTTCATTCGATAACTGCAGTGCTACGAGGGACATGTGGTTATATTACGGAATACCTCGCCACGGTGTCCAACAGTTTTCCTTTCTCATCCGGGTTTGGGTACGGCAGTGGTGTAGTTATGAAAAAAATTAACGAATAAAACTCTGCAACCTGCTTATTCAATGATAGTCTCATAAAGAAAATTGCATTTGATGTGCCAGTGTTTTGTAGCCGCCAGAAATCGTAAGCCTGCACGGATAAGTTAATTCCATGCAGTGCATTCGAAGGATATTGCTGGACAAATAAACCTGAGCAATACCTGTTCAGTGCAGTCATAATCGCCTGATCTGAGGGTCATCCGCTGTCAGATTCAATCTGCCTGTTCAAGTCTAGTAAAGTAACGGCATGTTCGCGTTCCGCAGCATAAGGTGGACGAGTCTGAAGCGAATTGCATTAAAATTGACAATTTAATTGCATGGCGGAGGCAGTTAATGCATTGTGTACGCAAGTTCTGCGTTCCATCTCCCCGAGCAGTAGCTACATTTTACATTTAACCTCGGAATGACTGTCAGTGTGGTGATCTTTCTCAGAAATTATGAAACGAGTTATTAGCGACTGTGCGAAACGCGAACAGGAGATTGGCGACAAATTCTTTACTGGATTTTTCAAATGAATTATGCAGTAACTTTTAATGCCTTACAACGCTGTTTACTTGTTTGCTTTTCATAATTGTTCATGAATTTAGTTTGCAATCTTGAAACCTTAGACACGTTGCTGATTCACGTAAAGTATGTCAAAGTGTGGAATCACTGAGGAAGTTGAGATGAACTTATTAGAGTTGAAGCAGATCTTGGGTGATTCGCTACCGGCAGACTTAAATACGGACTTGAACTTGAAGCGCTGGCTGAATGGCTAGTCAAATAATATTCTTCAGATCAAAAGCCTACTTCTGACTTATGCTGTCAACAGAAGGGTGGCAGGTTTGGACAGTCCATCATTGTTGGAGAACGTATACGAAAACGTTTACGTAAAAAAACTACTTGTTCACCTGCAGATTAGCCTGAAATCGATGGTCGTTAACGAGTACGATAACTCGATTGTTGTTGTGTGTCTTATAGACAGTGTGAGTTATCACGACTTGGCACGCGTTGTCACTCCGAGCGAAATGCTGATGTACTATTTCGCACTGACGGAATACTTTTTCAAGGTACCAATCAGTGGTTCTGGTAATTAATTTTCTATTTAACGTTCACCGTGCCAACTTGTAGCAGGTGCTGGCTCGTGAGAAAGCCACCGGACGAAGGTCCGGTCTGACGTTTGTTTTTGATGTGGCGAATTTTCACGTGGTGGATTACGTCAATCCCCGGTCTCGCTTCATGCAGTTGTTCTCGCTGTGTGCATCCGTCATTCAGGACTATTACTGCGACGTTCTACAGCGGCTGTGCCTTCTAAACTGTGGATACTTATTGAAGGCAGTTCTGCAGCTAGCGAAGTTGGTGCTTGTTCCGCTGGCGTTCGAAAAGGTTAGTGGCGAAGCATGCGATGATGACGATTTGAAATTTGACTGATTGAGTAGAATTTCAACGGCAACAAAAAATGCAGTTTCGTTTAGCGTACACATAGAAACAAACTTAACGAGTTAAATAAAATTCTTGAGGAAATTAAGAGGGAGATATCGATTCATAGGCTGTTTGAGTAACAGTTATACCTTGTTGTTTATACTTTGGTTGATTCCTGGTTTAATGCAGCAATTTAATTCTAAAATTCTTTATTTGCTCACTTGTTTCGATGCCGCTGCAGACCGACATCATTATCCATTTCAAGTCCACTTCAGTCTAATTAGTTAAGTGATCGAGGCTTCACGTCAAGTTACAGTAGTGCAATTATACAAATGAAAACTGTGCAATGTCTCATGCTAAGCTGAGTATGAAGCTGATAATCACTAAGGTTATCTGCTCGTTTCAAGCCTGTTCTGACTGAGATATTCATTATCTTCATCTCTAGGTCATCGGGTGATCGGTGGAAGAGGCGAATGACAAAACACTTCCATTCAGCACTGGAAAGGGAATACAGGTTTGTCGGAATTTCAGCGTGGTTTCCACTTCGTAAACAGAATGGCAGGCTTTACGCACAAAGTTAATGTGTGCGTATCGTTTCCACTCGCGTGTTCAGAAATGTTTCTCCTGAAACTGTTCAGTCAGTGTAAGCAGCCGTGTTGCACAGTGTCTGAATCTCTGCTGGATGGAATGACAGGCGACATAAGATGCGCGGCTTTGCGGTTACATGAGGCCGAGCCAGATTACTGTAAGTCGTTAGTATGAGGCATATAATAGAATGGTCAGTGCCCGCATTCTGCGCTCCGTGATTAACCCCTCATCGAACAGGCGCGTTCTTCATGACGCCGTCGATTTGTGATGACAGCCGCGTGGACAGTCGGCTACTTTCAATAGCCCAAATGACATGAAGGGGAAGCTCTATGTCGAGTGAAGTCGCCCGCCAAGGTTTATAAGGCTGTACCCTAGAGATTCAACAAGCTAAACATGAAAACTTCAATATATAAATGCAACAATGCGTAAAAATGCGCATAGCACTGAAGATTATTAACTTAGATCACGATGGTAAAGGTCGGTTTGAATGAACTGGTATCTTTTCGTCCTAGATGATGTAACTTCCGAAGAAGTTTCAAGCGAATTGGGAGACTGGATTGAAGTGAGATAATTCATTGAAATAAAAGTATGGTTTTTTTAAATTTATGGTTAAAATAAATTGACGCGGATTGACGAGCGCGAGACCACTATCCAATCGAGAGCAACATCCGCAACGATCCTGCATCTCATGTGATAAACCACTTGCAGTAGAGTCCAAGCTTAGTGTATTTGCCATTTGTTTATCCATATGAATGATGAGCTTAAAATGGAACCAAGTTCATGAGCTGAGTTAGAAGGTGCGGCTTTGTCCGATTCTAGAAATGTTCATTTGTTTTAAAACAGAACTCCGAGAATAACAAATAATACACAGGGTTAGGTATTGGAGTGCTAATGGCGAGGCAGCTGAGGAAACTCTTGAGTTGATCATGCGTCTCTTCCCGCCTGTTCGTGTCTTTGCTAGTACGTTCCGCTGTTACGGCTTTCAGTATCTTTCTTTTTTCCAGTTTCCCTCTCTTCGAATTATCTTGCTGGATTGCCCTGTGGATGACATCATTCTTTACAGTGCTGTGCTCTGCCAAAGCCTCTACTTTATCGTTTGTTGTAGCCATTGCTTCCATAACCTGTTTCTGAGATTTCACCCTGTTTCTCCGATGTATATTCCACCACAAGTGCAGTTTAGGCAATACACTATTCCGGGGTTATGTTGTTGTGGTACGATCCCTCTCTTATACGGAGGACCCCCAGCTTCTGCCGGCAATGACATCGTCTTGACGCTGTATTGTTCATGAACCCTTGTATTTTTTATTCGCATTCCATAGTATGATATCGCCAGTAAAAGTTGCTATCATAGTTGTCCAAGGAACAAGCGATTGGATTATAATTGATTCTGCTCAACTTTCGGTCTGTTGGATAACGCAAGGTTCCGGGTAGTTGTTTTCGCTTAAGTCGTTGAGAAACTTATTCTGCTCCTGTAAGAAGGCGGAGTTCGAGCATATTCGTACATTTCTTTCATGAGGTCCAGTTTTAGCAGATATCGGCGTGTAAGACCTACACTTAATGTATCTTCTGGTGTGGGTGGGCTTCTTGGTAGTTTTTAGGGTATCTCCATTCTTATACACTGAGATGCCCAGAAACGAAGGTCATACGTTTTTCGCATTCTTGGGTGAACTAAATCGTCTCGTAGCTGTTGCTCAGGTGTTCCCGGAAGCCGCTGAGTTAGCTGCATCCACGTTGCCACAGAACCCAAGTATCGTCCATCTACCTGTGCGGGCACTTTGAAAAAATGAATAACATGGTATTTGCAAAATCAGGCAGTGTATATCCTTAATGGAGAAATTCGGTAAAATTTTTTGGATAAGAACTGCAGCCATGATGGATCCAACAACTGCACAACCTCCATAAATTAACGAATATTACTAATTGGCCAGGAACAAAGTGTAATCGTCAAAAGCTCCTCACCGTGCTTTCCTAGTTCTCGTAAAACAGACTTTTTAATCAGGATGGCGTACGGGATCACAGTTTCATCAACGGTCTCAGATCAGCTACTGTTTGTTACGGCATAGCGGGTGCTGATGGGCAATGTCGAAGATAGTTTCATGCTTTGGGCGGCGAAAGTTTTTACTGCCTTCTGTCAATTGGTCGATGTGCCAGATGAAGTTAGTGCCATATCAGCAAATGCAAGCTCATGAAATTCTTTCTCGCCACTTCCGCAATTACTTTGCTGTGGTAGGGACACGCAGTGCGTACATTTCGCGACGGAAATAACGATCGATATCTGTGGTTAATGACTAACAGACAGACATCGATACGAAACAACGGAGAAACAGAAGTTAATTGCTGCCGATTACGTGCCGATGCCGGACTCAGACAGATGGACAGAAATATCAGAGCAAATCAAGGCTAGTGACCGCATGCCACATGCTAATTCAGTAGGTGCTAGCCTAAAGCCTTTCAACAGTTTTCATGTCATTTCG